CTACACTATTAAGAGCTATAAAAAATGTTCCTACTTTTTGAACCAATGATTCTCAAACCCTGCTCCAAGCACAGTGCCTGGCACACAGCAGGCCTTTAATAAATGCTAGCTAGTTCCTTCCTTCCTCATTCTACCAGCTTCATTCATAATAGAAAACTATAAAAAATAGCCCACATACCTAATGACTAGGAAATGGCTTATGAATGTAATGGGAATACCCCATAAAGAAGAACAAATATGAAGGTTACATAGAAATGCGGAAAAGTTTATCAAGTAATAATGCACAGTAAAGAAAAGAGGACTAGAATATATATGCTGATTACAACTCTGTTGGCGATAAACAACCACAATGTAACCTGACAAATACACAGGAGAAAGATCTGAAAGAGATACAAGAAAATGTTATCTTCCCTTTTTTTGTGAAAGTTAACATTTAAAAAAATTGTAAAAAATTTGGAGCTTTATAACATGATTTTTAGGACAGCTAGAAAGCCCAGTGCAAGGAGTGCTGGGCCTGGAGTCAGTAAGATCTGAGTTTAAATCTGTCCTCAGACACTTACTAGTTGTGTGACCCTGGGCAAGTCACTTAACCCTGTTTGCCTCAGTTTCCTCATCTGTCAAAAGAGCTGAAGAAGGAAATGGCAAATCACTCTAGTATCTTTGCCAAGAAAACCCCAAATGGGATCACAAAGAGTCGACAAGACTGAAAACAACGGAACAACAAACAACACATGACTTTTTAAAAAAATGAATATTTCAGTTGATTTGTGACTAGGTTTAAAATTTTAAAACAAAAACTCCTACAGGTACTAAATATCTCTGGGTCTGAAGTCATGTCCCCTCCCAAATCTGGTGATTGTCACTGTCATTTTCTACATAAATCAAAGGCATTTTCAATACAACTTAAAAAGATATGCCCCTGGAGAAAGCACCTAGAGCAGCTTTCAATCAGCCTCCAACAATTACAGCCTTAGAAATAACTGACATCCCTCCCATAGTTCACCATTATCCCTTCAAGGAAAGCTACCATAATCTGATGAAAACCACCCATTAGTTCATTCCTATCCACCAGAAAGGGATTAAGCTTGCTTTCAAGTCCTTTAGGTCTCATGCCAGGCCTCTTACAGCAATCAAGGTGAGGAAGGGGGAGGGAAGATGGGGAGACGGAAGTTTATTGGGAGAAGATAGGCTGCCCCTGGAGGCTTCAGAGACACTGATATACCAGTCAGACAGGCAGTAACTTTTATTGGAATCTCTGTCCCTGAAGATCTCCTATTTAAGGAGCCATTAACACTGTTATTCTGTTTGAGAGCTCACCCCCATCCCCAGTTCGTCCCCCTCGTGCCTCTTCATGTTAAAACAAGGTGACACACAGAATCTAACTTATCCAAAGACACAATGGAAAAGCAGAAAGTTCCATGAGACCAAAGAGAGGGATATAGGAGTAGGGGTAGGGGACACACATTTATCTTAATAGCTTCTTGCAAAAGGAGGCTATCACGGTTCCAAAAGTTTCTCAAATGAAATCAGAGGCATTTAAGAGACAGGTTTTCTAACAATCAAATTTTAAGGAGAAACGGGAAGATCTATTTAGCTTATGTGAAGCCACAAGCAAGTGAGGAGTAAGACCCTTCAAAATTTCCAAGGACAAAATCATTTTCTGAAACATGGATAGGGAAGTCACTTCAGGCCCAAAGAGAGCTCCACCTCACCTCACCACCCCTGGAACATCTGCCCGAGTCCAATGAAGCCACCTATCATTTTGTGCAGATGCAAGATGCTTAGAAGTCAAGAATGCCTTTCTACTCTTGCCACATGGCAAAATAACCCCACATACTAAAGAACCAAGCTGGGTTCCATTTATCAAGGTCGAGAAGTAGGACCACTTTAAAGTATTGCAGCAGTGTAGTAGAGTAGGTAGAGTCAGCAAGACTTGGGTTCAAATTCTGCATTAGTGCATGACACCGGGCAAGTTTCTTGGTCTTTGGACCTCAGACTCTTCATCTGTAAAGTGAGGGTGGGGGATTGGTGCTGGATGACCATTTCTTTTTTTCTTCTTCTTTTTTTTTTTGCTTTTTTGGTGAGGCATTTGGGGTTAAGTGACTTGCCCAGGGTCACACAGCTAGTAAGTGTCAAATGTCTGAGGCCAGATTTGAACTCAGGTCCTCCTGACTCCAAGGCTAGAGCTCTATCTACTTCGCCACCTGCTGCCCCTGGATGATCATTTCTAAGGTCCCTTCCAGTTGTACATCTAGAATCCTCTGAGAGTGGCTCAGCTCTAGATTTTTGCCTTCTGTTAGTTTCTGACTTCATCTTGTAACCCTTGGCCATTTTCTAGGGATAGTATCTCCCTACTTTTTGCAAACCCAATGCAGAAAGTTTGTCTAGGGGAGGGGTATAGCGGAAGGGCAGCTAGGTGTCATAGTTGATAGAGTGCTGGCCCTGGAATTAGGAAGACTCACCTTTCTGAGTTCAAATCTGGCCTCAGACACTTACTAGTTGTGTGACCCTGGGGCAAGTCATTTAATCCTGTTTGCCTCAGTTTCCTCATCTGTCAAATGAGCTGGAGAAGAAAATAGCAAATCACTCAAGTATCTTTGGCAAGAAAACCCTAAATGGGGTCACAAAGAATTGGACACTATGAAAATGAATGAACAACAACATAGCTAGGAAAGGTTCAGGAGGTACAGGGAAGCAACGGTACTTTGCAGAGCAGAAAAAACCAATGACCTGGAATTCAGGAGACCTGGGTTCTCGTCACAGGACTGCAGATTTAGAGTTAGAAGGAGTCTTAGAGGTCATGGAATCCAATCCTCCCATTTTACAGATGAGAAAAATGAAGCCCAGAGATATTATATGACTTAAGTGACCAGGATCACATATCTGTTAGGTATCTGAAAAAGGACTGAACCCAGTTTATCTGACCTAACGTCCAGCACTCTACTCACTATCCCACAATGCCTTTTTAGAACTAATCCTAATTTTGCCATTATCTAACTGTGTAATATTGGGCAAATCACTTCTTTATCTGGCCTCCTAACCTGTACAATGGGGACAGTATTACTTGTAACAACTACTCAGCTTGCAGTGAGAATTAAATGACACAAAATCTGTAAAGCCTATTTGTAAGCATTATAAAGGCTATATAAATTTCTGATGTCAATCATTATGTATAAAACAAACATGTCCTAGAGCTCCAGTCTCCTAGAGGTCTAAAAGTCTGATTCTACCAGTTGCCTTTACCTTGAGACCCAAGGCTAGAATCTAGAGGGAGGTGAACCAGCTGTTTTTGCAAACAGATGCACCTTCAGTAATGTTCACCAGTGCTTTCCTGAATTTCCTCAGGATTAGCGCCTGAAGACCTGCTATGCCGAGAGGAGGCTTCCTTCCTATCCTTTAAGGGGGATTTCTAGGAGAAAACAGATTAAAAAGATGTCTTCTGTGGCCAGACTGGTTAAAGGATGCGTTTATAAAGGATCATGATCTGACAGTGGGGTGGGAAGTACCTGAAGCCAAAAACAAGTAGTCTTCCTGAAAAAAATAAAGGGGAAGCTGAGCTCAAAACTTCCTAGTTGATAGCCTGTTGACCCACATGGAAGCAAGACAGTCTGGGAAGACAGAAAGGAGAAGGAATGAATAGGATTTCGGGGCTGTCATGGAAACTTTTCTTTCCCTGGGCAATGGCAGCATATGGCAGGTGCCCCCCAAAGTCAATTCCTCCTGCCTCAGGCTGGCTCCAGCCCTCAGACACATATGTATACTCCGTCTTCCTTTCAGTCTGAATGTCTCCCCTCAACTTCTTTCCTCCATTTCCCCTCCCCCTTTACTCAGCCACAGTAGCAACATATTCCCCTTCTTAGCTTCACAAACAGATGCTCAGAGGGAAGGCTCATGGAGACCTGCTGAAACTTAACTCTGTCCCACCCCACCCCCCAAAACACCAACAACGATGGAGAGCTGCTGAGACGGACAGCTGCAGAATGGTCCAGGTGGTGCAGCCTGGCTTTTCCTGGTTAAGATGCAGCCACAGAAGCTAGGCTCATTTCTTCCTATGAATGGGGAGGGGGAGGGGAAGAGTGAGAAGAGTTCGCGGCTTTTTGGTTTCGAAATGCATAATGCAGCTCTATTTCCCTAAGCCTAGCTCCTCTCCAATAGGTGTACTCTGTATAGCAAACAAGATTTCGGTCTAGAAATTCCCCATTTTCTCTTAGACAAAGAGGCTAGGTCCTCCCTCTACATCAAAGACAGAAAGCTAAAGACTAAAGAAATGGTATCACGAAACAGATGTGCCGAATCCATCTCTTTTGAGAAAGAGCCCATTGACCATCCTGGTAGTAGGGACTCCTGTCCCTACACTACATTTGTTTATTCAGTCACATCCCACTCTTCATGACCACGTTTGGAGTTTTCTCAGCAAAGATACTGGAACGGTTTGCCATTTCCTTCTCCAGATCATCTGACAGGTCAGGAAATTGAAGTAAACAGGGTTAAGTGACTCAGCCAGGGTCATACAGCTAAGTGTCTGAGGCTGGATTTGAACTCAGGTCTTCCTGACTCCTGGGCCCAGTGCTCTATCCACAGTGCCATCTAACTGCCCAGATGTTCAAAGATGCCCCATATTTCTTGTAACATTTTTGGAAAAGTGTAAACCCCACCAGGGACTATGGTAATGCTTGTTACCATAGGTCAGGAAAAATAATTCAGCTGAGTTCCTAAAGATGTTTAATTAGAAATCAAAGGTTCCTCCCCACTTCAAGCACTAGTTAGAGCGGTTCCCATTCTCCCCCTACTCTGGGCCCAAGTGACTATGGTATACAATCCTCTCCAATCAATTACTTTATAAAGTCATGCAAAGGGCCTGAATACCAGTGATTAAGCCTGGGAAGCAGGAAGGGAGGGGTGGAGTGATGTGAGGAGAGGAAGTATAGAGATCCATCCCCCTTCCAAGCCCCTGGGGGAAAGACAATGGGAAAATACAGAGGAGAGAGGTTTCCACTTACTTGCTAGCAAAAGACAGGCAACAGCCACGATATGCAGCTGCTTTGCAGTCACACTGTATCTATCCATGAAGAGGTCCAGCAGGTAGACAGCCAGGTGTCTGGCTGTGGGGCAGATCTTGCAGTGGTTGCTGAGGATGGAAACTAAGTCAACAAAATACCTTCGGCTCTCAAGGAGGGGGGACTGGGCTTTGTAGACGGGCAGCTTCAGCTCCTGGGGGAACAATGAGAGGGGAGAAGATGAGAATCCTGGGGTGTTTAATGAGAGCACCCAAAGCTTAATTTTGCTGCCTGTTCCCGGGGAACATCTAGCAAGCTAATGTTCTGAGAATGAATGATGAACGCCTAGGACCAACAAAGACTTTCTTATTATTATAGTCAATTTCTTATCTGTGGTAGTAGGAGGTGGCATGGAAGTAGTTAAATGATTAAGGTAGATTTAGAGTCATCACTTTGGAACTGGAAGAGATGTTAACAGTTCGTCTACTATAACACCTTTATTTTACAGATGAGGGAACTGAGATCCAGAAAGGTTAAGAAACCTTAAGTCCTAGGTCATATAAGTGGATAAATAGAAGAACTGGGACTTAAATCCAAGTCTTCATCTTCCAAAGCCTCTTTTTAATGCATTACAAATGGCAAGAGTATTTGGGTTTAAGCCTGGATTTTGTAGTAAAGAACCTGGCCTCAATTCCTAGCTTTGCTACTGACTAGCTATATAACCCTGGGCAGATTGCTTTGCCTTCTTCTGTAAACCATTTTACCCAACCACACCTCCCCCCTCCATCACAACACTATGCAAAAGACAGTCTTTGCCCTCAAGGAGCTCACAATCTAATCCAACTCTTCAAATCTAACACTCCCACCATCAAAATATGTTCAGGGAAAATAATCCAATTTTTGAGAGGAAGGCAAAAATCTGTCCTAGGAGATTAGGAGAAGAATTTTGCATCATACAGGCCACTGTGCCAGGCTATAAATCAATTACTTTCCAAACCAAGTACATAGTGATTTTGGATAGTGGGCATCACTCTGGCCTAGGTGTCAGAAGAGCCAGGTTCCAGTTATAGCTGCCATTATGTGATCTTTGGCAAATCAACTTCCTTCTGTGGGTAGTTAAGAGGAGTGGCTTGGTGTAGTGGATAAAGTGCTGGATTTGGAGTTGGGAGGAGCTAGGCTGGAACTCTCATTCTACTACCTACTGGTTCTATGATGTTGGGCAAGTTACTTAACTTTTCTGGGCCTCTGGGATAGCTAGGTGGTACAGTGGATAGTTAAGAAGAACTGAATCTTAACTGACTTCAGGCCAGGCATTCTATCCACTAGGCTACCTGACTGCCCCATACATACATATTGTGTGTGTGTGTGTGTGTGTGTGTGTGTGTGTGTGTATGCACGCAAAAAAAATATATGTATATATGTCATCCCCACCCCCAGCCCCTTTCCCAATGGAAGACAGGGATTTTTTTTGGTTTTCTCTGTAGCTCCGGTACTTGCTTAGCATGTAAGTAATCACTTAATAAATGCACACTGACTGATTTATTGACTCTGTAAGGGCTAAGAGCACGTCTTACTCATTTTTTATTTCCTCCAGCATCTAAGTTAACAAGTAAGCTTATTTTGGTTGTTGGTAAGAAGGGATCTGTGTACATATAGTAGCACTGTGGCTGACCCCCTCTAACCTGTAACTCATGACAATTAAGCATTATTATAAAGGTTTAAAGATAATTAATTGGAATTATACAAAATCTCCCTTGTAATAGCAACAGCCTGAAATATTTTTATGTATCAAGAAACATATATAAATGACATTTATACTCTGCTAGATTATAAGCTTCATGAAATCAGAAGAAAAAAAAGGAAGATACCATTTTGGTAATTGGTAGGTCAACTCTCTGGACTCTTGACTTCAATCTCACATACTTTTTTTTTTGATGAGGCAATCCGGGTTAAGTGACTTGCCCAGAGTCACACAGTTAGTAAGTGTCATGTGTCTGAGGCTGGATTTGAACTTAGGTCCTTCTGACTCCAAGGCCAGAGCTCTATCTACTGTGCCACCTAGCTGCCCCCAAACTCACCAAGTTTCTGGAAAAAAAAACAAACACAAGTTTCTGAGCTTCATTCAGATTTAAGAACTGCCCTAAGGCCATTTTGCAGGGTTGGGTTTCCAGGCCTGAGCCAGGATATGAAGATGTCACAGAGGCATCTGCTCTCTAGAGTTTGGGACTCTCAGGTACTTGGACGTCTAAACCAAGTTTCTTTGAAGACTGTCTCAATTCAAACAAATCCAGCAGCCTGAATTTGAGAGATAATAGGGCATTTCCTCAACAGGGTTAGCCCTCAAAGCAATTACTAGGATTAGAAGCACATTTAGCAGTCAGCTACCAGCAAATGTAGTACCAGAGGGGAACAAAGTGACTTAGCAGAGTTTCCCCCCAAAAAGGGTCAAAGGTGGGAGGGAGACTAGGAGAGGGAGTGGGGAGCTCACAGAGGCTTATAGATTTCCTATTCCCTGTGATGGTTAAAATGGGTTTCTTCATTGCATCTGATTATCTTTTGGACACTTCTGAGATGGCCTCTGCCCACAAGCTGGATCTCAATGGTCTCTTCTACTGCTAAGATTTCTTGGGCAACGTAGTCACAGATACCTTCAGAAAGGGATAAAATCCCACCTCCTGCAGGAAAACTTCTGCACCTGGCTCTCCACATTAACCATTTTACATATGAATGAATGAATGAATGAAAAAGCATTTATTAAGAGCTTACTAAGGGCAAAGCTGTGTGTGCTAAGCTCTGGGGACACAAACAATGAAATCAAGACAGTCTCTGTTGTTGCAGATGCTCATGCTCTAATTGGAGGATACAACAAATACGAAAAACAAAGTTAGATGGCTGCAAGGCTGAGGAAGGAAAGGCAAGAAGTCGTAAGGGTGCAATGGTGGGCAAATGTGAAGGCCCCAAGGGTCTCAGGTTAATGACTTATTTAGCTATCTCAGAGATAAGTCTAATCTCCATAGAAAGACATTTTGGAACCCATATATTGATAGGAAACTTGAAAAGGGATTACTAGATAAAGAGGATGGTGCAGTACATGAAATATCACACATAGCATCAGCATGCCTGCTTTTGAATTTTGTCCCATACTAGGTACTGGACCTTAGACAAGTCAGTTAACTTCTGGGCGTCAGGTAATCTTCTCCCTTTCACTGAGAAGGAATCAACTCTATTTATCTTTCAGGATGGTTGTGGGATTCCCCTCCTTAGTGATGCTGGCAGCTTATATGGGTTCAATCATTTTCCCTACAAAGATGATTCCCAGATTTATTTATCTAGCTCTAATTTCTCTCTTGAACACCTTCCTGACTTGTAACTTCAACGGCCCGCTGACTGTCTCTACCATCTGGAATGTGACATTTCCAAAATAGCTCCTCTCCCCAGGGACCCGGATTCAAAACCTTAGGAATCATTTTTGAGTCTTCCCTTCTTACTCATTCTCCATAAAACGATCAATGATCACATCCTGTCTTCTTGTCTTTTTTTTTTTTTAACCTCCATAACATCTTTTCCAATCTATCCCCAACTTTCTACAAAGTCATTGACCTAAGGTCAAGACCTTATAACCTTTTATTGGGTCTGCTACAATAGCCTCCTAACTGGTATTCAATCTCTCCCTTCTCTAATCTATCCTTCAGGCAGCTGGCAAAAAAATCTTCCTAAAAGGCATTGGCCTGGCCACATCCACAAAAATTATCAACAATTCCCCTGGATGAAAACAATACAAAGGCCTTATCTTAGTATTCCAAGGCTCTCAACAATCTGGCCACAACTTACGTGTGTGGCCTCATTCATTGCACATGACCCTGCTTGAACTCTCTGGATTCAAGCCTAGACTACTAGCAAATTAGAGCTACGCTCTACACACCTGGCATGTAACCCTTTCTTCGTTTCTGCCTTTCAAATTTCTTACCTTCCTTCAAGGCTTGGGGGCTACTTCCTCTATAAAGCCTTCCCTATTCAAGCTCAAAGTCTCCATCCTCAAATTTTCCTAGAGCACAAGATCCAGGAATCTCCTTTGTCCCCCACTCCTACCCTGCCATCACTTCCATCCCATGCATTATACTTATCTGTATTTCTATTGATCCTCCCAGTAAAATGAAAGCATGACTTGTTTTTTTTAATCTCTACTTTAATCTATTTAATTTTAATCTATTTTAATTTCTGACACACAAGGTCACAGTGGGTGGAAGGTGAAGTAGATTTCCACCTGATTAAGAGAAAACTTCAGCTAGGTGGTGCAGTGGTTAGAGCTCTGGCCTTGGAGTCAGGAGGAACTTGAGTTCAAATCTGGTCTCAGACACGTAACACTTACTAGCTGTGTGACCCTGGGCAAGTCACTTAACCTCATTGCTTCACCAAAAAGCCAATAAATAAATAAATAAATAACATTTAAAAAAAAAGAGAGAGAGAGAAAACTTCCTAAGAATTAGATCTATCCAAAATCAATGGAGTTATTACCTTGGGAGGAGCCAGTGGGAACTGGAGGAAGCCAGGACACCATATTGACCATATCCATTATAAGTCTATGTTATCTAATCTTCAACTTGGCCTTCTTGGAATGAAGGCAATCATTTTTTGCCCTCCTAGTCAATTTTCTATCTCTCTCCCCAAAGAGGCTGTTCCAAACCTCAAGCCTCTCACAATATCCTGTCCCACCTTCAGCTAAGGACATTGCCTCATACTTTTCTGATAAAATTGAGGCCATTTGCTCCTTTTCTACATCTCAAAATCCCTTGACCTCAGCTCAAATTCTTTCCTTTTTTTAGGGGGAAACTTTTACTTGCCACAGCTCACATACACACACAGATGCAGACACACACTCCTTAATCCCACCTTCTTTTCAGCACGCCATTATCCTTCTAGTCACTGTTCACAACTTTGGAATTAGCCTTTCCTCCTCACTCTGCCTCACCCCATTGGGTGATCTCCATCTATCCAAAAGTTGCCAAATCTTGTCATTTTTATCTCAACAATTACCTGTGGCATATATCCCCTTATTTTTACTCACTGGGCCACTAACCCCTATTCCCTCTCTAATCTTCAACTTCTCCCTATCTATGATTCTTTCTTGGTGGCCTAAGCATAACCAAGCTGCCTCCCATCCTTACAAATAATTCTTAGCATGCCCTATCAAGCTAATCCTTACCAGACCCTGGC